GGAGATGGCCAATTAAGCAAACATTTTCAGGATAACATAAGATCATACAATAGCATGTTTGGTTTTACTTCTTTAGGAGGAAAGATAGATTCCGATATCAATAAGGGGACTGGGCCACCGGTGTTTTCTTTGCATGGACAAAATTACCATCTACTCGGTAGTTTGCTTCCTTCTGAAGGTGCTTCTCCAAAGTTTGCGCAATTGTATATATATGACACGGAGAATGAAATTTCTAACCGAATGAATGCTGTGAGGTATGACTTTACTTTAATTTATATTCAAAATTAATTCATAAATATATTCTTTAATTATGTTGTTCATTATATAGAACATTCAAGAGATAGCTTTTAAAATTGTATAATATAGACATATAATATGTACTTATTGATGTGCAGGAATGGATCTGGCAGTAATAATTTGAATGAGGAAATAGTTGTTGGATTAAAGCAAATGTTAGACCAACACAACGAACTGGTCAAATCATTTCGTATGGCCAGAGATAGAATGCGAGAGCTGGGCGAATCTAATGTTCGAGTGCGTTTGATTGGTAGGAGATACAAAGATGCCAGGCAATATAATTTGCCTACGAGTTCAGAACTTGCTATATTGGTTGTTGGCGATTTTGACCAGGCTTTGGGTGAAAGGGACATATTGGTTGAAACTAAGAGTGGTCGTCTACAACGGATTAATGAACTAAATGCTTCGTACTTGGCATTACAATATCCTCTTCTGTTGCCTTATGGTGAGGATGGGTACAGAGAAGACATACTTTTTTCTGAAGGCACGCCAGTACGTGAAGATGGTCGAAAACATGTCAGTGTAAGGGAGTACTTTGCATACAGAATGCATGATAGAGATTGTGAACCTTCGACTATTGTTTCTTCCAGAAGGTTATACCAACAATTTATAGTCGATGCTTATACCATGGTTGAATCTGCAAGGTTGAGATACATTCGTCTCAATCAGAAAAAGCTCCGTTGTGATTTGTATAATGGTGTGGCTGAGGCCGTTCTTCGTGGCGACACCAATCCCAGTACCATAGGAAAAAGAATTATTCTTCCTTCATCATTCACTGGTGGTGCTCGGAATATGATTGAAAACTATCAAGATGCAATGGCAATTTGTAGATGGGCTGGGTATCCTGATTTGTTTATTACCTTCACCTGTAACCCCAAATGGCCGGAAATTGTTCGTTATCTCGAGCCAAAGAAATTGCGAGCTGAGGATCGACCAGATATCGTGTGTAGGGTATTTCGAGCTAAACTTAAGGAATTGATTAGGGATTTCAGTCAAAAGCAAATTTTTGGGAAAGTAATAGCAGGTGAGACGTTTAATATTTTATATATAATTACTATAGTCCTTTCCTAATCATTTCCACAAACGATTTATTTACTATTTTTTTCATATTTCAATTTGAATTTGACTTGATGATGATATATATAATTTTTCTATTTATTCATTTATTGATTATTTTTTCTTATCCAGTTGTCTACACGATCGAATTTCAAAAACGTGGATTACCGCATGCTCACATATTGTTATTCCTTTCTAAAGAGTCCAAGTTTCCCAACCCTTCAGACATAGATAGAATTATATCAGCGGAGATACCCGATGAAGCCTCTGATCCTCAATATTACGAGGCCGTAAAGGAGCATATGATCCATGGTCCGTGTGGTCTGGCAAAAAAAGACTCGCCGTGTATGGTGGATGGAAAATGCACCAAACGATTTCCTAAGAAGTTTGTTGATTCCACAACGGTTGACGAAGAGGGTTATCCACGGTATAGGCGTCGTGACAATGGAACTTCTCTTGAAAAGAATGGTATTGTTGTCAACAATGGTTTTGTCGTGCCTCATAACCGGCGTCTGCTTATGAAGTTTGGAGCGCATATTAATGTTGAGTGGTGCAATCAATCACGATCTATAAAGTACCTATTCAAATATGTCAACAAGGGTAACGATCGTGTGACGGCATCATTTTATCAAACTTCTGCCGATTCGGACATTGAAAGACCGTTGGATGAGATAAAAATGTATTACGATTGTCGGTACATATCATCGTGTGAGGCGTCATGGCGGTTGTTCGGTTGGGAGTTGCAGTACAAAAAACCTCCCGTCCAGCGCTTGAACTTCCATTTATTTGGAGAACAAAGAATATTATTTGACGATGATGGAAATCTTCTAAACGTTCTCCGTAAACCCACTGTTGATGAGAGCCAATTTCTTGCGTGGTTCGAGGCAAACAAACAGTATCCTGCAGCGAGGGAAATAACTTATGCTGAGGCACCGTCCAAGTTTGTGTGGGATACAACAATAAGACAGTGGACTCCTCGAAAAAACAAGGACAAACCCTCTGTAGGTCGTTTGCGGTACGTGCCTCCCGGTTGTGGAGATAATTATTACTTGCGATGTTTGCTTCCTGTTGTGCGTGGGGCAACATGTCATGAGGACTATATGAAGGTCGGTGATGTCCAGTATCTGACGTATCGTGATGCTTGCTATGAACGAGGTTTGTTAGAGGACGATCGAGAGTACGTAGATGGCATAACCGAGGCAAGTCAGTGGGCATCTGCAGACTCCCTTAGACGCATGTTCGCATCTTTATTGGTGTCCGGTTCATTTGGTAGACCAGATGACGTATGGAATAAGTGTTGGCAATGTATGTCTGATGACATCCTGTACAGACAGCGTCGACTTTTCAATAACGACGGTACTAATTGTTTTCATCTATCAATATCAATTTTAATAACTATTCATTTTCAAGTTTATATACAAATAGGAATATTTAATTAAAAGTGTTTTTTTATCTTTGTTTATGTGTTCGGTTTGATAGATTTACAACTTACTGAGGAGCAAATTAAAAACCTAGCCCTTGCTGAGATTGAGGCTTTATTGAGGCGTCGTGGTACAAGTCTTCGAGAATATTCATCTATGCCATATCCGGACAGGGACAGCATGCATTCAACTTCGAATCGTCTGATATTAGATGAGTTGAATTATGATCGAAAGGCCCTCACTGTTGAACATGATACGCTTCTTCAAAACATGACTAATGAACAAAAGAGTGTCTACGCCAAAATTATGTCCGCTGTTGAATCAGGCCAAGGCGGTGTGTTTTTTGTATACGGTTATGGTGGAACTGGGAAGACGTATCTGTGGAGGACCTTATCAGCTGGTTTGAGATCCAAGGGTAACATAGTCTTATGCGTCGCATCTAGCGGAATAGCATCGCTTTTATTGCCAGGTGGCCGAACGGCGCATTCCCGATTTTCTATACCATTGAATCCACACCAGGAATCTACTTGCGACATCAATCAGTCGAGCCCTCTAGCCGAATTGATAATTCGTGCTTCTCTTATAATATGGGATGAGGCTCCAATGATGCACAAACACTGCTTCGAAGCTGTACAGACATCTCTGCAGAGTATTATGGGAGCAATTGACCCCTCAAACAAGGACAAACCGTTTGGCAGGAAAGCTGTTGTTTTTGGTGGAGATTTCCGACAAATCCTTCCCGTCATTCCAAAGGGTAGCCGTCAGGACATAGTTAATGCTACCATCAATACTTCTGAATATGGAGAAGTTGCACTGTGTTAAGGCTTACGAAAAACATGCGCCTTCAGGGAATGGCTAATTCAGAAGAACGTGATGAGCTTGCTCGGTTTGCGGATTGGATAGCCAGCATTGGAGATGGAACTATAGGAGGGGCGAACGATGGTTGTGCAATGATTGACATACCCGATGACATATTGCTGCAACCATCTGATGACCCTATTGCTCAAATTGTTGAAAGCACATACCCAATGTTTAAGGATGCAACCGACGATCCAAGTTATTTGAAGGACAGGGCTATATTAGCGCCGACTTTGGATATTGTCGATTCTATCAATGAGTACATGACATCGTTGAATTTGTCGGATGGTCGTACGTACTTGAGCTCTGACAGTACGTGCAAATCAGATTCTAATAATGACTTTTTGTCCGATCTCCATACGCCCGAGTTTTTGAATAGTATAAAGTGCTCTGGAATACCCAATCATGAGTTGTACTTGAAGATTGGAACTCCGGTCATGCTATTGCGGAATATGGACCATTCTATGGGTCTGTGTAATGGGACACGATTGGTAGTGACAAAGCTCTCCACTCATGTTCTCGAGTGTAAGATCCTCACTGGCGATCACGCAGGTGATAAAGTGTTGATTCCAAGAATGGCTATAACTCCATCTGATGTTAGAATTCCTTTCAAATTCCAACGTCGTCAGTTTCCCATTATGGTCTCTTATGCCATGACTATAAATAAGAGTCAGGGACAATCGTTGTCTCATGTGGGCTTATTTCTTAAGAAACCGGTTTTTAGTCATGGGCAGTTGTATGTAGCTGTCTCCCGTGTCACAAATAGAATTGGTTTGAAAATCCTAATTTGTGGCGACGATGAATTGCCAACAAATCAAACCATGAACGTTGTATATAAGGAAGTGTTCAATAATATATAGATTATTTTGCGTTATATTTATTAGTTTATTATTTATTAATGACATCATGTTTCCTTTACTACGTACTTTGATTTTTAATTTAAATTTGCTTTGTAAAAGGGACGGAGATTTTAACTCCCCGTGCATCGCACGGGTACTGTACTAGTAATGATAAAGGATTAAATGAATATTTCTGAAACCAATCTACTCTATAAATTTAGTTATTAAATATAATGATAAAGGATTAAATGAATATTTCTGAAACCTACTTAATTCAGGAATAGGCAGGATTAATATAGCATCCATATGCACAGGCACTAGTATAGGATTTCTGCTGCTACTATATATATACCCACACCTTCAGGAAAAGGCAGGATTAATATAGCATCCATATGCACAGGCAATAGTATAGGATTTCCGCTGCTACTATATATATACCCACACCCTCAGAGACGATGCATAGCATATCATATCATACATATCTGTCAAGTAGCAAATAATTTCACAATACACAAACACACAAATACAAATGGGTAGTATTCATTATCATCATCATCTGAAGGCTGGTGTCTTGTTGCTTTTGTATGTGTTGCTGTCATCATCAGTGATTCCTCATGTCCTGTGTTCAAACTTGAAGGAGGAGAGTCGGACGACGTACATCGTGAGGGTCCAACCTGGCATGAAGCCATCGGGTTTTGCACACGCACGAGATTGGTACAGAGCCAGCCTCAAAGGAAATTACAAGCATGACGAGGAGAGGTTTGTTCACGTTTATGACAAAGCGTTCCACGGCTTCTCAGCTCGACTGACGAGGCAAGAAGCTGCACAGCTTTCAGGCCAGCCGGGGATCATATCCATTACGCCAGACCGCCTTCACCAACTCCACACGACTCGCTCTCCTACTTTCCTCGGCATTCAGTCGGAGTCCTCTGCCAGTGACAGTAACGGGCAGCTGTCGGAGTCCGAGTTGGGGTTGAATGTGATCATCGGCATATTCGACAGCGGCATCTGGCCCGAACACCGAAGCTTCCACGACCAAGGTCTCGACCCCATCTCTCCCGACATCTGGAGAGGGGAGTGTGAGGAAGGCGAGAACTTCACGAGAGCCAACTGCAACAACAAAATCATTGGGGCCAGGTTCTTCTCCAAGGGTTATGAAGCAAATGAAAACGGCCAACTCGAGGAATTCAAGTCCCCACGAGACTCCATTGGACACGGCACCCACACCGCATCCATTGCCGCCGGCAGAGCCGTCCCCAACGCCACCTTTTTCGGCCACGCCACCGGCGTTGCTTCCGGGGTCGCCCCGAGAGCACGCATCGCCGTCTACAAAGTCTGCTGGAAAAATGGGTGCATGGCTTCCGACATCCTTGCCGCCTTCGACAAGGCCATCTCAGACGGAGTCCACATAATCTCCTTATCTCTCGCCTCCGTGCAGGTGCCGTTCGAGATCGACCCAACTTCTATCGGGGCCTTTGGAGCCATGCAGCGAGGCATATTCGTGTCTGCCTCTGCAGGGAATGATGGCCCGGGCGAGAGGACTGTCTCCAACATCGCCCCGTGGCTCACGACCGTCGGCGCCAGCTCAATCGACAGGCGGTTCCCAGCAGATGTCGTGCTCGGGGATGGGCAGGTCATCGGTGGCGTGTCGCTCTACGGCGGTGGCCCACTCCTCCCCAACGACACCCTTCTCCCCCTCACGTACACTAACAGCTGCAACGACGGGTTCAGTGGCGACGAGGTACGTGGCAAGATCGTCGTCTGCCCTCGTGGGCCCGGACAATTGGGAGAGCCCATGGCTGACGCCGGGGGCGCTGCTGTGGTCATCATCGGCGGCTCCGTCTTCCAGGCCGAACCTCACGTGCTTCCGGGCCTCACCATAGAAGAGTCCATGGGGGACGCAATCCTCCGCTACATCCACTCTTCAGGTGCCAATGCCACCGCCACCATCGTCTTCCACCCCACGGATCTCGGCTTCCATCCGGCTCACGCCCTTGCTTCCTTCTCTTCCAGAGGCCCCTCATTCGAGACACGCTACTATCTCAAGCCCGAGCTGATTGCCCCGGGAGTCAACATCCTCGCCGCCTGGCCCGACGGCCTGTCCCCGACTGGCCTTTCCTCAGACACGCGCCGCACAGAGTTCAACATCCTCTCCGGCACTTCCATGGCCTGCCTCCATGTCTCGGGCATCGCCACCCTGCTCAAGGGGGCCCACCCTGACTGGTCCCCTGCCATGATCCGCTCTGCCATGATGACAACCGCCTACACCCGAGACAGCCAGGGATGGCCCATATTGGACGACGGGGCAGAGGCATCCGTGTGGGCCAGGGGGGCTGGCCACGTGGACCCGCACAAGGCCACCGACCCCGGGCTGGTGTACGATGTGACTGCTGAGGACTATTTCAGATTGCAGTGCCTCCGCCTTGCCCCCCCAGAGGATGACGATTACGGCGCCATCTCCAACAGTGACGGTGACGGCCACCCTCTCTATATTGGCTGCAGCAGCTCCCAACCAGCTTTCGACAACGCCGCCGATCTAAATCTTCCGGCCGTCGCCACTGTTCTCCAATCGGATATCAGTCCCGTCACCATTAGTAGGACCGTCTCCCATGTCGCCGAGGGGCCTGCCACTTACAACGTTGCTGTCGTTAATCCCTCCAATGGCCTCATGCATGTCACCGTCAATCCCAGCACCATGGTGTTCAAGGCCAAGGGCGAAAAGCAGAGCTACTCGGTCACCATACATCCCATCACCGTCTCTCAAGCATTCGCCAACATTATCTGGTCAGACGGCCTGCACAATGTCGTCTCCCCCGTCGTCATCTCCTGGAATTAAATTCAATTAGTACTCTATCATTACTGTTACCATTCTGTTCTCCTCATTGTTTGTCAGTGTACATTTCTTTGCTTTTTATTACTTGTAAGTAACTCAGTTTTATCATCATGAATTCTTCTCATTTTTTCCATCGTATTATAGTGTGTACTTTTGTTTGTTTTTTATTACTTGTAACTGAGTTTTATCATCATTACTGATCTTTCAACTAGTAAACTTTCTACTAAATTTCCAGACTCAATTTCAAATATTTAACACAGATATGATGATCCCTAGATCCCACAACAGCTTCAATCTAATTGAAAATTCATTCATTCCAATCTCCAATTAACTCTTCCCCAAAAACCAAAAATCCTTATGCTCCAAATAACAAAAATTTTAGGGATTATTATTACCATTACTAGTAAGAATTGAACAAAATGCAATTAACCAAACCAGAATGAGTAGAAAGAAAGCCCTCACCATCTCTTGCTCAGAATAACCCCATTATCCACGAGGACAGCTGCTCGTTTGGGCCTCAACCGGTTACCGGGATGTTGAGCCACTGGAGTTGCCGGCTCCGGAAAACCCACCTGAGGGACCACTTTCCCGGCGCCCTCATCGATCCTCTCGTCGGCCGGCAGCGGCGGTTTGTGGAGGCGCAACTGTCGGGTCAAGGCCAAGAGCCTTCTGGAATTAATTAATTATCTTTTTGTCTTCTCTTCTTTCTCATTTCTTTCATCCTAGCTATTAATCGTACGTTTATTTAGTTTTTACTTGTAACTTAATTTTATTTGATGAATTCAACTAGTAATCTTAATCAAGCTAACTTAATTTTATTTGATGAATGCTCTTTCAACTAGTAATCTTAATCAAGCTGCTCCATTTTAATGCTCCTTTTAAAATAACTAGTAAAGTACATAGTTAATATTGTTTTGTGATTTCAAATCATTTATGATTTATTCAATTTTTGATTTATTATTTTTTTATTAATCAAGTAAATTAAATATTAAATCATTTCAAAAGCATTAAAAATTGAAATATATTTTTTAAATAACCATAATATTTGAAAGTCATGATAAAAATAGTACATGAAAAATTGAAGTAGAACCATCATTCTCTAGGTTAATCTTGTTTGTTCAAATTGGCCCCTGTATAAAATATCCACTAATTAATAAAAATCGAGCATAATATGCTTGAATGTGAAAATAAAAATTAGACGAAATGTACACAATAAATAATTATAAAAATATTATTAGAAATGCCCACTAACTCGTTTTTTGGTTAGAATATATGCAATTTCGTTGGTTGATAGGGTGTTTGTACAATCGTAAAATTTATTGGGTAAAATTATCCTAAATTACTCGCATATTTTGCAACTTTGTTTTATTTTTAATTTTATTGTGTACTTCAACATATATTTTGTTCAAGAGGCTCAATAACATTCATATTATTCTTTAAACTAGTTGTTGATATTGTTACAGAAAAATGCCCTTTATTACATTCTTCGGATAGCTTTTCTCACTTTGTTTTGTCTTCGTCCTCGTTGAGTAATAATAATTATTGCTTCTAGTATCATTAGTGATTATCAGTCTTTTAATGTGAAACGCATTCATTCTCATCATTTGTTCTTTAATTTGAATCAATTATCATATTGAGGAGTTCTATTTTATTAATTTTATTGACAACATAGAAAAATTATAGTTTAATTTATATTCGATACTCAATATCCAATATATTTATGTATATTTCAAGACTAGTTATTTTTGGATTGGAAACAAATTAAAACTCATCAAAGCCAAACAACAAAGCTTAAGGGATGCTTGAATATAAGATATTTTGATTTGGTTTGGAATTTTTTGTTTGGTATGATTAATTTTGAAAAAAGTAGTGTGATTAGTTGTTAGTGGATTTTGAGTTTATATTTAAATAATATTTAAAATAAAATAATTAAAGTTGATTTGATGTAAAAATAAGAAAAAAGTTGATTTGTCACATAGGATCTCAAAACGTGCGAGCCTGCCACTTAAACTCAGGACATTCAAAAATTATATAGAGTAGGCATTCGGAATTAGACTATCTCCAACTGAAAAACCGATTCTCAAACTCAATTTGCAATAAGTGTCAAATTTTTTTAGTGTTTGACTGTTTGGACACTTAAAACGCATTTGTGAGTTTTTTCGGCAGAGATGACGCAAATTGAGTTTGCGTTTCGTCTGTTGGAGCAATTTTTGGGTGTGCGTTTGCGTATGAGAATGTCTTAGACCTTCTCCAACGGTACTGGAAAACTGATCGCAAACAAGAAATTTCTCTCCAATGGAACTGCAAAACCCAACGCAAAATGCGTTGTTGGCTCTTTTTCTCTCTCCTGAAACGCAAATTTGCGTCGCACTGTTCCAAGACGCAAATGTTTGCAGAATTTGTATTTCATACCCTTTTGTTTGCTTCATGTTTTATTTATTAACCTAATCTATATATATATATATATATAATGGTTTTGAATATAGATTAATATTGTTTTTTATTTTATTTTAATGTTTTAATACTTTCTATATATGATTTTTTATTTTTTTAATTACAATTTAATATTTTGAAAATAACTTCATATATTCATATAACAATTAGATTATTCAATATGCTTTTGAAAAAAAAAATACAAACCATATACTAAAATATACTTTGAATTAAAATATTGTTTTATTCGTTTTATTATATATTATTAGTGTTTTGTTTTTAAAAAAAAGTTACAAACCATATTAATATTAAAAAGACTACTAATTTAACAAATAAAAAAGACATTAATATTACCAAATTAGTTATAATATTGAAAGATAACATAGAACAACAGAAAATAAAAATACATAATAAACCATGAAAATTAGTTATACTATTTATTCCTCTTATTTTATTATGTATATATATGATTATTACTTTATAATTAGTATATTACATAAAGTCCAAATTGAATTGAAAATAATAGTGTGGTTTAATTTGTAAAGTTGTAAAATATGTGGGTAGTATTGAAAAGTTGTAAAAGTTGATGTAAAATAGAATATTCCGAGAATATTCTTTTGGGTTGGAAAATGGGTTTTTCGGTTGGAGATGAATTACTGCAAAATGAGATTTGTACTGCAAAATGGGTTTGAGTTTGGTGTAATCCGTTGGAGATGCTCTTAGTTGTTTGTTTGCAGGTGTATTATTGATGAACTGTTTTGCAATTTGGGTTAGCTGAAATTAATTTCTTTGCACCGAATTCAGAAAGTCCTCAATTTATAATGCCCTTTTCTTCTTTCAGCTGTCCTCAATATTAAGTAAAGTCTTATTCTCTTTCTTTCTGTTTTTTTTTCTCTTTTTGATTTTTTGCTTCAGAGGACAATAAAAGAAATCAATAACTCCAAGAGTGAGTAGATAGAGACGGAATGAAATTTTGTAGGAATGAAATGAATTGAAGAATGGAATGATTATAGGAATCGAATGAAACATATTTTATCATTAATGCGTTTGGTATGCAGAAGAAATAGGACTGTAATGGAATGACATTATCATTTTTTATTATAAAAATAAATAAAAGACTTTTTTAAAAAATATTATACTTTTAATAAATTATATATAAATGCTTTTTTAATAATATATAAAAATAAAACAATATATTTAATAATATATAAAAATTAAATAATGTATCGTTTAATAATATAAAAAATAATATATTTTTAATAATATATAAAAATAAAATAATATATTTCTAAATTATATATAAAAAATAATATATTCTTAAAAGTAATATATTTTTAATATATAAAAAATAATATATTTTTAATAATATTTAAAAATAAAAAGTAATATATTTTTAATAATATATATTTTATTTTTTAATTAAACAGTAAATAAAAGTAAGTTTTCAAATTTTTATTTGAATTTTATTTTTTAAAATAATATATTTTTAATAATATTTAAAAATAAAAATAATATATTATAATATATATTTTTGATATTTTTCAATAACATATTTTTTAATAATATATTTTTAAAAGTAATATATTTTTAATATATAAAAAATAATATATAAAAATAAAATAATATATTTTTAAATTATATATAAATTCTTTTTTTAGTTTTATTTTTATATAAGTATTTAATATATCTAATTAAAAAATAAATAAAAGTAAGTTTTCAATTTTTTTATTTGAATTTTTTTTAAAATAATTTTATTTAATATATTTTAATCATGATTTATAATATATTATATATTTATTTTTTATTATTATTTGTTAATTTTATTTTTTGAAAAATTGATTCCTACACACATGGGAATGAGAAAAACTTCCATTTACTATGGAATGGTTAATCTCATGGAGATAGGTTTTGCCCATGGAATGGTCAATCCTTCTCAAAAAATATATCAATCATGGGATAAGGAATGAGTAAAGGAATGATCATTCCATTCCCACGTCATTCCTTCATACCAATCATGCCATAAAGTGTGGAGTGAAATTTTTGAAATCTATATCTTTGATTGATTTCCTGTTTCTTCTTTTTCTCTAATTTGAAAGATTTCCTAGTGCAGTTAAAACTCGAAGAATCCCCCAATCTGCAAAATCTATATCTATCTATCTATCTATCTATATCTATCTATCTATTTATCTATCTATATCTATCTATATCTATATCTATCTATCTATCTATCTATATCTATACTATTATAAAAGGACGAGTGATTTTGTAAAAATAATGATCTGCCTAAAAAACTCTTACTTTGACATATTTTTAATGGCAAAATAGTAATACAGTAATATCCATCTTATTTTATATTTTTAATTAACAAATAAACTACCTAAAAAACCCTTACTTTAACTTAATTTTGTAAAAATAATTATCTGCCTAAAAAACCCTTACTTTGACATATTTTTAATGGCAAATTAGTAATACAGTAATATCCATTTTATTTTATATTTTTAATTAACAAATAAACTACCTAAAAAACTCTTACTTTAACTTATTTTTAGTGACAAATTAGTAATACACTAATACTCATCATATCTTATATCTTTAATCAATAATTAATATTATACCATTATTCCTCACGAATTTGTTTCTTTCACATATCTGTCAAAATGCTTCTTTCATATCTCCAAAAAATCAACCCATATAATTGATATTTTGAAATAATTTTAATCTAAAATAGTAATTACTTTAATTAATAACAAAAACTACTACATGAAATTAATTTTTAAAAAAATTGCTATATTGCAATAAAAATACAACAGTCGGACATTCCACTGAAAATCGCAACGAATATTCATGGGTATAGCGAATATATACATAATCTAACAAACTAAAAAAGTGGATTAATTCATTTGGCTACTTTGTTATTAAGAAAAATACACTCTTACATTTAGAAATTGCACCTTATATTTATTGAATTGAATTTTTATCTCACAAAAAATGTTATTTATTTGTTTGTTTGATTGTTTTTTCCAATTTTTGTCACGAAGGCACTAAAGTTAACGAATTTTCACTTGACCATTAGGTGAAGACCATATAAAAGAACAATATAAAGTACAAAAATATTAAATTTGCCAAATATTATAAAAAATATAATTAAGTTGTCATACTTACTAATAAATATGGAAAGAAGTAATAAATAAAAATGTTAATATTACTAAAAATAAACATAAAACTCTTAAAATTGTACTTATCGGTGCAAACGAACTGAATTGTTCAATGCTTGTTAATTTTTTTGTGCTTTAGTTTTATGTGTAAGTTTTAGGTGATAGACAATAGTTATTTGTACTTTTATCCATGTAGGTTAAAACTTTTTTGTTTTAAATTTTATTTATCGGTGCAAACGAACTGAATTGTTCAATGCATGTTAATTTTTTGTGCTTTAGTTCTATGTGTAAGTTTTAGGTGATAGACAATAGTTATTTGTACTTTTATTCATGTAAGTTAGAACTTTTATTTTTTAGAAAAAAAATAATTATTTTAATTTTAAACAACCTTTTATTTTCTATTATTTTTTTGAATATAATATGTAAATATCATATTACATATATCAAATAATAATAATTATTATTATTTAATATTAAGAAATTTAACTCAAATGAGAGATTAATAGGTAATTTTGAGATAAAATAATGAGTGATTTTAAAAAAAATATATGTACTAAAAAGTTCATGTGTTAAATATATTTTTAATAGAAAAATTGTAGATATTCTACTGAAAATTGCAATGAATATTTCATTGGTGTAGTTTTCATTGGAAAATTTCATTGTCTATTTCAATACTGATCAAATTAAATTACATTGACATTTTTGTTGGTTTAATGATTATAATTACCATTACTTATGTGTGAATTTCAGTTAGAATTTATTTTCGGATCATATTTCAATTGTTGAAAAAATTGTCAATGGAATTTTAAAAAATTCAATATAAGTTTATGGAAAGGTAATTGCATTGGAGGACACAAAATAATTTCATATTGGGGGCACTATTTAGTTAATAGAAAATGTAGACCATCAAAATAACATAATGCACTACAATTTATAAATTATACTTTTCATAGTTTGTCATCTTTCTCATTTGTAATACATTTTTAACACATATAAGTTAGAAAATATTAAAAAAAAACATGAAATTAAGTTTGAAAAAAAAGGCTATATTGCAATAAAAAATACAACAGTCAGACATTCCACTGAAAATCGCAACGAATATTCATGGGTATAGCGAATATATACATAATCTAACAAACTAAAAAAGTGGATCAATCCATTTAGCTACTTCGTTATTAAGAAAAATACACTCTTACATTTAGAAATTGCACCTTATATTTATTGAATTGAATTTTTATTTCACAAAAAACGTTATTTATTTGTTTGTTTTATTATTTTTTTCCAATTTTTGTGACAAAGGCACTAAAGTTAACGAATTTTCACCTGACCATTAGGTGAAGACCATATGAAAGAACAATATAAAGTACAAAAATATTAAATTTGCCAAATATAATAAAAATGTAATTAAGTTGTCATACTTACTAATAAATATGAAAAGAAGTAATAAATGAAAATGTTATAATTAATAAAAATAAACATAAAACTTTTAAATTATACTTATCGGTGCAAACGAATTGAATTGTTCAATGCTTGTTATTTTTTTGTGCTTTAGTTTTATGTGTAAATTTTTAGGTGATAGACAATAGTTATTTGTACTTTTATCCATGTAGGTCAGAACTTTTATTTTTTAAATTTTACTTATCAGTGCAAACGAACTGAATTATTCAATGCTTGTTAATTTTTTGTGCTTTCGTTCTATGTGTAAGTTTTAGGTGATAGACAATAGTTATTTGTACTTTTATTCATGAAGGTTAGATTTTTTAGAAAAAAAAATGATTATTTTAATTTTAAATAACTTTTTATTTTCTATTATTTTTTTGAATATAATATGTAAATATCATATTACATATATCAAATAATAATTATTTTTATTATTTAATATTAAGAAATTTAACTCAATTGAGAAATTAATAGGTAATTTTGAGATAAAATAATGAGTGATTTTAAAAAAATATATGGACTAAAAAGTTCATGTGTTAAATATATTTTTAATAGAAAAATTGGCGTATTCCACTAAAAATTGCAATGAATATTTCATTGGTGTAGTTTTCATTGAAAAATTTCATTGTATATTTCAATAGAGATCAAATTAAATTACATTGAAATTTTTGTTGATTTAATGATTATAATTATTATTACTTATTATTTTATGAATTTCAGTTAGAATTTGTTTTCGGATCATATTTCAACTGTTGAAAAAAAAAATGTAAACTTTTTAATCTTATAAACAATATAAAAGTACAATTTTATCAAATATATATTACTATAAATAAATAAATAAGTAATATTAAATTATATTTTATCTTATATGATTATAGTTGCAGCCTAATAAGTAAGTACTTTGATAACAACATAATTATATAAAATGCGTAAAAAAATTAAACAATACATATAAATATGTCCTAATTCTTTTAATAAATAAAATATTATTTGTGAATACAATAAGAAACACATAAAACAATAGTAAGGGAATGAGGAAAAAGAAGTCTGATTTTTTTTTTTAAAGAAATATGAATATCAACATCTAGAAACAAAAGTCTTTTTTAATTACTACATTTTTTATTACTGGCATTTAAATTCTCATAAATATTGATCCTATATTATAAATTTTTAATTTTTAAATAATTAAAAAAATTTGTAATACATAATGTATATTTTAATAATGACTTTGTGATAATAAAGTTCACAGATGGTGAAGAGTATTATAATATAATAGAATTTTAATTTTTCTCCTCTCTAATATTTTAACAAAGGATATGTTTCTTAATATTATCTCATTGTTTTTTTTTTCATTGTTAAAGAATCAAGAAAAGATATTTATCATAAATTTTCGAAACATTATGATTGATGCAAAACTTTGGACAATAAAAGCGTCTGAAATCATTGGAACAACCAAGATGCTCAATGATTTGTAAACAACATATTATATAGTTCGTCTATCTTCTAAATAAATACATTGCAAAGGAAATGTCAGGGCATGATCAAAATATTATTTAATTTTTGAATGATGTTATCATATTTTGATGGAAATATTTACAATTCCATTAGTGTATTGTGCTCGAACATATGTGCAATTACTCTAGAGTATATACTTTCATGGAATGTATGATGATTTCAGAAAATAATTTAGTTTTCACGTAATGTATGATGATTTAAAAAAATAATTTAGTGTCTCGGGAGAAGTATATGTAACCATGATTTTGAAAGGTCAACTTTTATTTGGAAATGAAACTCATTCTCACTCGGTGGGGTGATGCCTACAGGTGGGAGGTGTCAATTTGTCTATATGGAGAGAGAATAAATGAAGTAGTTCAAAAAAAATATATCAACAATTTTAATGACACGGTTGATTATTTCACTTAGATATTCATTAATTGTTATTAACAATACCTTATAAAGATCATAATCATAGAGTTCGACTATATGTTTAGACAAAATATTTTGCATTGTTTGAATAAAGTAGACTTTTTGCTTAATGAATTAAGAAGAATTTATCTATTGATGTATAGAACTCGAATGGGTACTGTTTTTTTATGAGAACATCTCAAAACTAAAATGAAAGAAAATCACTCTTTAATTATCAAACATAAATAAATCAAAGAACTAATGCATTTATATTATAAATTATGTCTTTATTTTGTTATTTAGTGTCTTTTTTTTTTAAAGAAATAAATTATTGACTCATTTTGTATATATTTTTGCTGGTTGTAATATGCTATTTTATTCTGTTTATATTAGTACATCGTTATGTTATTTTTGAAAAAACAAATACATTAGGACCTCATTTGTTCTACATTTTATTTTGTTCTTGCAATGATATGTTTAATAAATTAATTAATTTATTTTACTAAACTTTATCTACAAAAAACATTCGTCACCACGTGAAATGCACGTACACTTTACTAGTAATTTTAAAAATAAAATGAAATTGTCAATAGTTTATTATAATTTTATATATTTTTTCTAAATATTCATAAGAAAATAATAAATGTTTTCGTACCTTGAAATCGAATCCTCCTGCTTATCACCACGCGGATTTTCGCCTTAAGCGTGACACTAAAAATTCTACTCGCTGAAAAATGAGAATTTAATGCTCTGCATTTTGCCTGTCATCACCATGAAATTATCTTCACACCCAAGACATAATTTTTCAAACCCTCTACGCGCAAGTGATAATGATAATATTTTTGCTACCAAGATTCACTTTTTTCTCTCTTTTTTTTTTAAGGACAAATCTAAGTAGTATGCAAGCGCATTCGCATCCTCTTTCATAATTAGCTGCCAAAAAGTCTCTTCAGAATCTCATTTACATATAAAGCATATCCCCATACAAACTAAAATCTCTTGAATCAAATAAAAAAAAAGAAAAAACAGAAAAATGTTTAGAAGAAAGAGTATAGCCATTTCCTTGATCCTTTTCCTACAACTTTCAGCAATTTGCAATTCAGCCCCTCTCTCAACCCAATCCCGGTGGATAGTCGATGAGGCAAGCGGACAGCGCTTAAAACTAAAGTGCGTGAACTGGGTTTCCCACTTGCAGCTCATGATAGCCGAAGGGCTCGACAAAATGCCCTTGAGTCTCATTGTGGGGAACATATCCCAATCGGGCTTTAACTGCGTGAGATTTTCATGGGCCACGTATATGTTCACCAGGCCCGAATATTACGGCCTTACAGTTACACAGTCACTCGATAAGTATAACTTGGTGGCCGCGAAAGCAGGGGTGGATAAGCACAACAAGTGGATTTTGAAAATGAAGATAAGGGAAGCTCACGAGGCCGTAGTGAAGGAGCTCGGGAGAAAGAGACTTATGGTGGTGCTCGATAACACGATTAGCGAGCCCGAGTGGTGTTGTGATGGCAAAGATAGCAATGGCTTTTTTGGGGATTCGAATTTTAATCCAGAAGAATGGTTGAATGGCTTGAGAGATGTTGCAAGAAGATACAAAGGCAATGCTGCGGTAT